CGCAGCGCCACTAGCCTCTCGGGTCACGAAAGCGTTTTTGTAGAAGGAAAGGCCGACAGCTACGGTTACGCAGATTAGGGTACAGGACAAACTTCTTCTTGAAAATGAACAAAGTAAGCCTATCATTCAAGGATGAAATAACGCAACTCCAGCTTCCAAAATGAATGTAGAGTTTGGGGAAACTTGTTAACTGGCGCCGTGAGTCTGACAACCTCCCAGTATTTAGATGTTTCTAATGAGATCAGTTGTGCTATTTACCGAAGTGATTTGGGGATATTGTATAATGAAATGTGTCAATGTTTGGAAGAACTACACAACTCAGTGAAGCATTCTTTTTCCAAACGATATCGTATCCTGCATGAGTAACACACCCATTCCAAGTAGCAGAGAGACCCATGGATCTTAATGTAAGATAACAGGAAACGGTCATTAATATGATTTCTGATGTCACATAGCAACTGCTCTGTGAGAAACCACCAGGCATCACGTTGTGGTGTGGTATCCAAGGAGAATATTCCCCATTTTCTGTAAAGGCTATTAAAGCCCCTGCCCTTTTCTAAATACACATCTGTGGGAGGGTTTTCCTCTGATACTTCCATCAAAATAACTTATCACGAGAGAGGGAAAACACTCACAGAAATGACACTAATGGCTTTCTGAGAAGTCAGACATCAAAAAGTAAGATGTTACTCTTTTCTCTAAATATTTTTTTGCTGTTCTGGAAAATAGCTTTTTTTCCCTCTCATAAAAAATGTTATTTAGGTTAGCATGTTTTAAATCTGTTTTAAATCTGATTTTCAACCTTTTTCGTCTGATGGCACAGATAAACTAAGTACTAAAGTTCTGAGGCACACCAGAAATCACTTTTTTGCTGGTCTGAAAACAAAATAGGTGTCATTTTTATTGATTTACAAAAATATATATATATTAGTAATTACCTACCCTTTTTGTTCCAAAGGCACTTTGTAAAAAAATAAGGTGCCTATACAGGAACATAAGGATTTGTGGTACCAAGTATTAGCCAATCAGGTGCAATCTGAGAAACGCATCATTTGGCAATTTCGTCGTTGCGTGAACATCATAGGGCGCACTTACACAACCTAGAGGGTACAGCCACGCCCAGGCTGTGGGGTAAACCACTGTAGTATACACAGTCTGTTGTAGACCGAAAGGTCATTACGTAGCTCATGACAATAACAGGTGTCACTAACCCCCTCCCCTGCCCCCATGCAGCCTCCACCATAGAACTTGGAATGCCAAGCACCCTGGCAGCCTCTCTTGCAGCTAAGGTGGCCATGTGATCCACGTGTGGCCAAGGAGACATAAAAGAACGTTTGCTGGAAGTTCCCTGATAAATGGAGAGGCCTCATGTCCACCCCACCTCCCATCTCCTTCTTGCACTTCATGCAAAACACCTGGAGCTTGACCGAACGAGCTGAGAGACACGATGCTAAAGGGAACCGAGTGAAAAGAAATAAAGCCTCCATCGTTGCCGATATCACTGAGCAGCGGAACCAACTCCAACCAATGCTCACAACTGTACTTACTCTGTGAGAAAAATAGAATGGTGTTTATGTAAGCCACGGAGAGTCAGGAGTCTGGTAAAGCTGCATAGATGACCGATGCCTGCTTATCTGGAACACCTGGGGAGAGGCAGGAGAAGAAATACAGAGGCTGCATAACACGCACCAAAGAAAGCAATTCCGTAACAAGATGCCCATTGCAAACTGGGGCCGATGGCGTCTCTGACGATATCAAGATATAAGAACTTTCACTAACAAACGTTACAATAGAGAACGCTGGCAAAGGTTAGCATTCTACAGGGACCTGTAGGGAGCGGGTCTAGGGTCAAGCCTCAGGCTGACCTGTAGCAGGGCCACAAACAAGTCCCAGCCTGGAGGGCAGAGCTCTCCTAGCGTAATTAAGCCTGATCTTGTAGCCCTCCCTAATTCCTTCCTAAGTAGCTCATGGGCTGTGGGAGGTGCAGCAAGTGTTGCCAAAACAAAAACATTTGTATACAAGTTAATCTACCCTTGTTTTAATCAGACTATAAAATAAAGCATCGGCTTGCAGGCTGGGTCTTTTGTGTCCTCATCCAGGCAGAGGAGATCCACCAAGCCCCAGCTGAATTCTCTTGTCCATCTTCTTTAATCCTCCACCACCCCTCCTCAGGTTCACCCTTGGCCGTGCTGGCGCGGCACAGGGACCAAAGACCCGCAAGACATCCCCTGACCAGATGGGTTTCAGTGGGAACATCATCTCTGGGTGTCCTGCCAAGAGCCTATGTTATTGCCAAATCCCCATTTGAAAACCATAGATAAGAATGCTTTAACGGAAACCCAGAAGTTAAAACTAAGACATTTAAATAGTAACATCCCTTCTGTCTCAGAGACAAATGTGTCCATTCACCCCGAGGCTCACAGGCAGACTTCTTTCTCTTATAGTCTATTTGATGATTTTTTTGTTTTTAGCCATTCACGAGGAAATCGACGTGGAAAAATAATTTAGGGAGTTGGCTGCTGATCAGCTACTTGACTGAATCAAAGGGCAATCAGGCGCTAGATGAAAGGTAGACCTATTTTTTACAATGTCTCCAAGTTCCATCTTATTCTAACCACTTGTTTGCATGTAACTAACATTTTTCTATATCATATTGGTTTTTTCTCTTTAATGCTCAGGAGCCCAGGTATAGGGGACAGTTAGGTTCAGGGCCTCAGGTCTGGTAGACTTAAGTGGGAATGTGAAGCTGATGCATTGAGCATCTCTGTGTAAGATACTGGGCAAGCAGTGGTGGGAGGGGGACAGGTGGGTATAGACTCCAGACACACCCATGCTCGGTTCACCGTCTCGTTAGAGCAGAGAGAGATCCCTGAGAGAAGGTCAGTGGAACGTCTCAGTAACAGTTGGAGACGTAGAAGCGAGGGCATCACACATGCATGATTTATGGCCACGAAGACTGTTGCTGACGGGCACTGCAGGAGGATGTCAGAGAGAAGATCACCTTGAACGGAGGAAGGCTGGGGGAAACTAGAGAAAGCAGGATCCCCGCTCAATCGAAAGAGGCATTGAAACCTGCGGGTGGGCAAAGGAAGCACTTGAACGGCCTCTTAGAAGGGCTGGTTTTGTTTCCTGTTGTGTTTTTTAAGGTGAGGAACCCCCTGGGACATTGGGTGATGGTGTAGGCAGGGAGGCAGGGCCAAGGGGGATGATGGTAGAGGAACACTGGACGTTCAAAAGAAACCGGCAGACAAAAGGTGGAGATAACGCAAGAGCCCATCAACAAATGAACAGATTAACCAAAGGTGGGCTACAGTGGGTTACTATTCAGCCTTCAAAAAGGGGGAGGTTCTGACAACATGGATAAATTCTCCTTACGGCTAGACCTTTACAACATGATGCTAGGTGAAATGAGCCCGTCACAGAGAAAGTTCTGTAGGGTTCCACTTCCGTGAGGTACCTAGCACCGCCAAATTCACACAGAGAGATGCAGAGTGGGGGTGGCCAGAGGCTGGGGGAGAGACGAGTGGGGAGTTAGGGTTCCTGGGCACAGGGCTTCAGTTTTGTAAATGAAAAGAGCTCTGGAGGTGGGTAGTGGTGATGACTGAACGACAATGTGCATGTACTTAATACCACACTTAGAAATGGTTAAAGTTAAGATGTGATGTGATGTGTATTTTACCACATAATCTATATATATAAAAGCCCAGCAACCTGAATGGCGGAATGACCATAACAACCATTCGCTATGACACGCACTGCAGTGGCCAAGCAGCCCAATCCGGGCCCCCATCTGCCCCCCCCAAACCTCCTGTGGCCCCTCTCCCCAACCCACCCCACTCCCAATCGGATGCCCATCCTGATCGGAGGGTGGGACCAGCTAGCTGGGGGGGAGGGGCTGTGGGTGGTTGGCCAGCCCCGCCCCCAATCGCCCCTCATCAGGGCAGGCCTCCAGACCCCACCCATGCACGAATTCGTGCACCCCGCCTCTAGTAAACATAAATATTTAAAAACAGAGAGATAGGGAATAGCAGGAGAAAAGTAAAGACACAGACTGGGGTTCAAGAGGGAGCTCAGAGCTCCAGAGGAGAGGTGGCAGTTGGGCGCCAAAAATAAGGGTGGCCGCCCAGCCGGGTGTGGCTCAGCGGTTGAACGTCGACCCAGGAACCAAGGGGTCACCAGTTCGATTCCCGGTCGAGGCATGTGCCCGGTTGCGGGCTCGATCCCCAGTGTGGGGTGTGCTGCAGGCAGCCGATCCATGATTCTCTTTCATCATTGATGTTTCTGTCTCTCTCCCCCTCTCCCTTCCTCTCTGACATCAATAAAAAAATATTTTAAAAAAAATAAGAGTGACCCTTTGTCGGGACCCAGGCCTGTGACTCCCACGGCTCCACCAGTAATTCCACGACGGAGCGGTAAACAGGTGTACACAACCCCTCCTCCAATTCTTTTAACTTAATGAAGACTTTTTAAATCTTTTTATAAAAACCTCTGACCTTGGAAATGAATAACAGCTGGGCACCGGCAGACACTTCTGAGCCCTGCCCTCCCCCCTGGACACTAACGGTAGACAACTCGGTCCCAGAGAAAGTGAAGTGCGGGCCGCGTCTGCAGAGCCTGGCGGGTGGAGGCCGCTGGCAAAGTCAAGAGGCTGGCAGAGTGGGCTTTGTTTGGGGTTCCTGGACCCGATTCCCATGCTGAGGAGGGGGTGACTTTACCCCACACCCTCGAGCGCTTCTCAGGACGCCCGCTGGGCTGCTGCAAGGCCGCTCAGTTCTGACTCATCACCTGAGCGAGCAGGGGCCCGGGAGGGGGAGTCAGAGAACCTTCCTCACAGCTTCCGACTGGTCCCTGAAGCAGCACCGCCCGCCCGCCCGCCAGCCCTGAGGCAGCACGCGGGGTCCTGTCTCCGAGCATTCAAACATATGTCATGTGCTTCACAGACAATGCAGAGACGACGGGAACGGAGAACCAAGCACATAATTACAAGATAAAAGCAAACGTCCTTCGCTGGGGTAGGTTTTAATAAGATTCTAATAATGTTGGTAAGGAGCCAAATTACAAAATGCCCGAGAATACCGAGTACAAAACCTCAGAGACAAAATAAAAACTCATAAAAATGTAAGAGCCCTTTAAAATCAGTCATAATCTTTAGGATAAAGAAACCACTTTCTCAACAAAGGGACTGAGCACGTTTAATAAAAACTGAGTGGGATTAAAGACAGGTGTCCAGCCAGCCACGCCCCCCCCCTCCCTGTGATTAGTGTCAGAGGAGGGAGGCGTGGAGCCAGGAGGTCCTGTCACCAGATCTGGTGAAAACCGCCTGGAGGCACCTAGATCTCCGCACATCTCACTTACAGGTTAGGAATCCTTTACTCCCAGGCTGTGGTGTGGCCTTGGGAGTGACCTTGGGAGTGGCCTTGGAGTGACCTTGGGAGTGGCCTTGGGTGTGACCTTGGGAGTGGCCTTGGGAGTGACCTTGGAGTGGCCTTGGGAGTGGCTTTGGAGTGGCTTTGGGAGTGACCTTGGAGTGGCCTTGGGAGTGGCTTTGGGAGTGACCTTGGAGTGGCCTTGGGAGTGGCTTTGGGAGTGACCTTGGAGTGGCCTTGGGAGTGGCTTTGGGAGTGGCTTTGGGAGTGACCTTGGAGCGATCTTGGGAGTGGCCTTGGGAGTGGCCTTGGGAGTGACCTTAGAGTGGCCTTGGGAGTGGCTTTGGGAGTGACCTTGGAGTGGCCTTGGGAGTGGCTTTGGGAGTGACCTTGGGAGTGGCTTTGGGAGTGACCTTGGAGTGGCCTTGGGAGTGACCTTGGAGTGGCCTTGGGAGTGGCTTTGGGAGTGACCTTGGGAGTGGCTTTGGGAGTGACCTTGGAGTGGCCTTGGGAGTGACCTTGGAGTGGCCTTGGGAGTGGCTTTGGGAGTGGCTTTGGGAGTGGCCTTGGGAGTGGCTTTGGGAGTGGCCTTGGGAGTGGTCTTGGGAGTGACCTTGGAGTGGCCTTGGGAGTGGCCTTGGGAGTGAGCCATGATGGCTGCCCATCCACACAGTCCCCACCCCCACAGCAGGATGGGGTCTTGGGGGCGACAGGATGAGCTGTCTGCTTGGGAACAACTAAGTAATATGTGACCAACAAACCAAAAATGAGACATAAAAACACCGGAGTCCCCACCCCCAGAGGGACAGGAAGCCACTCCCCTGTGGGGAGCAGGACAGCAAAAGCAGAGAAAGTGCCCAGAACTCAGCTCTGCCACCACCGTGAGGACGGCGGGTGGGGGCCCTCGACTCTAAAGCGCACGGCTTAGGGCCGCTGCCGTGTGGGCCTCCGTTCGTTTCCACGGGCACTACACGCTCTGCTTCACTGGGCCAGATGTTCCCGCCAGCGCCGGCTCTTCCCGCCAGGGGCACGATGGTGGTTATTTGTCCGCCGAGCACATGCAGCCGCGTGCAGCAGCTGTGACGTGCGGTGGGTGACAGCGCGCGTGGGGACATTCCCCTGCACCCCGGCAAACCGGCACGCAAAGGGGAAGGCACCCCACGCCAGCCCCTCGAGCTGGGCCGGGCACAGGCCCCTTTATCTTAACCCTAAATCAGTAGCTTAGTCAGATGCAGACTCCGTGCGACGGGAGAGTCGGGGAGGTGAGGCTTTGTGCGGAGTAGCTGTGCGTCTCCGTGTGCTGCCCGGCGACGGGAAGGCGCGTGTAACTTGCAGATGAAACGCGCTCCGGCTCCCTGGGGGAGGGTTATCCCCACCTCCCGCGGTTTAATGGGACGGGACTCACTGAAGCTTCTGGCTGGGCCTGCTGTTGATGGAATCAAAGTCAATGACAATCTTGCTGCACTTGGGTGTGAATTTCCTAAATGGAAGAAACAAAATAGATAATGAGAGATAAACCGAAGAACTTGTGTACATAAAGGCGTAGCCCACGGACATGGGCAATAGGGTGGTGAAGACTGGCGGGGGGGGGGGGGGGGGGGGGGAGGGCGGGTAGGGGCCGGGAGGAGGGGTGTAAAGGGGTGGGGGGATGGGAGATATCTGTAATACTATCAACAATAAAAAATATATTTAAAAAAATATATATATAATGGTATTATCCAGTGAGTAGTTAAAGTAATCTGTTTAGTTTGGCTTAACCCACATTTTCTGTGGGGACTCACTTTATCCTATAGGAGCCAATTACAGGGCCCCGTGCAGAAAGGAACATGGCCCATAAGGCTCAGACCCAGCCCTAACCGGTTTGGCTCAGCAGATAGAGCATCGGCCTGCGGACTCAAGGGTCCCAGGTTCGATTCTGGTCAAGGGCATGTATCTTGGTTGCAGGCACAACCCCAGTGGGGAGTGTGCAGGAGGCAGCTGATCGATGTTTCTCTCTCATCATTGAGGTTTCTACCTCTTTCTCCCTCTCTGAAATCAATAAGAATATTTTCTTAAAAAGCACAATTATTAGCCAGAGCATCTTCAACTACCTCTGTCACTGCTCTTAAAGCTCTGCCCCTAAAACACAGAGAGGCTCAGCCCACGCCTTGAAAAAGAGGGGCCGGAGGTGGAAGGGAGTCGGGCATCACAGGCAGAAACGAAACACGGGTCCAGGCCACACATTCCCCTCCATCAGGCCTCAGCCCCCCCCCGTTTCTCCATCAGGCCTCAGGCCCCCCTTTCTCCATCAGGCCTCAGCCCCCCTTTCTCCATCAGGCCTCAGCCCCCCCTTTCTCCATCAGGCCTCAGCCCCCCCCTTTCTCCATCAGGCCTCAGGCCACCCTGTTTCTCCATCAGGCCTCAGCCTCCACCCCCCCCCCCTTTCTCCATCAGGCCTCAGGCCCTCCACTCACCTGAAGGCGACCCCAGCCATATCAAACATGAGCCTGGCGGCGGTGGACTCCTCGCTATCGTGGTACTTATCAGACATGAATATAACTTCTTTGATACCTTAAAAGGCAACAAGGCAGGAAGCCCCGTTAGTACAAGCACAGCGGCACCACCACGTCGGAAGTACGGATGGCAGCACTGCCCCGGAGCACCTAGTGGGTGCCCAGCAGTTCATCTTTTATAAGAAATCATGCATCCACTTGATGGCGGTGTCTGCGATGAATCGCCTCTCCCAGGGCGCGTCCACACCACGCCCAGTGGCTGCAACCAGGAGTTGAGCTCCAATCCAGCAGCGGACAGGGACAGCTGCGGACAGGGACAGCAGCGGACAGGGACAGCTGCGGACAGGGACAGCTGCGGACAGGGACAGCAGCGGACAGGGACGGGCGGTGCTGAATCTGCCCTCCAGCATTTATGGATTTTTTTTTTAACAAATGCAAAGTGAAAACAGTCAAGTGGTCAAGCCTCGATGTGATTAACAAATTTCCTTTACTGCGGGCAATCAGACGTTCATAAAGCAATTACTTCATAAAGCAATTACTGTCGAACTCCAGAGGCTGGTGGGGCGGGGAGGGGACAGCGTGCTGGCAAAATCGGAGAGAGACCAGCGACTTCCCCGGACGGCTCTGCAGACCCACACGGAGCAGACCAGTGCTTCTCCCGTCTCACCAGCAGCGCTGACCTGAGGCAGGACCCCAGACGGCACTCCCCACCCCAGCTCCATGGGGACAGCAGGGGGCTGGCCCCCAGGGCATGCGCGGCTCTGCCCACGCCTGCACCGCCTCGGCGCCTGTGTCCCCAAGGACCTTCCAGCGCCTGCGGGGAGCCGCAGAGATTCTGGTTCTGACACTGGCAGACCCCCCTCTGCTCACAGACCCTCGGGCTCGTGAGAAACAGCCCCTCTCAGCTGCACATCTGGCCGACACGGCACGTCTCTAAATCTCACACGGAGAGTTTTATGGAGACAGAGTGCGGCCGAATCTCAGATGTGACAGTTTGAAAAAGGCAAAATGTTCAGAACACAGTGCTGTCGCTTCGCGGTAAGAAAAACTTAACATGGTGCCGTTGGAGTCTTAGGACATTAAAATGCAGAGATATGGTTAGGTCCTCAAATATCTACCCTACATTAGCTACAAATTAAAATTTCACATACAGCCTCCCAGCTGACCTTGTATCTGACAGAAACTCATTCCCCCCCTCACCCGCACCCCCCCCGAACCCCCCCCCCCCCCCGTAATCTATGCACGATATACCAGAGAACAGAAAAATGACAGTAACGATATGCAAAGCCCGTGTTGCGTTTTGGCAGCTTGCGGTTTAAGAAGCTGCAAACGAAATTAGAAACATGTTAAGAATCGCAGAGGATGCAATTAGTCGCAGAATACCTGGCACCGTTCAAAAACAAAACACGGGAGGCATCCGGCAAAGTCGATAGTGCAATTAATTTAGATCCAAACAACAGCAGCGTAGGATCAAACCCATCTGCGAGGAGCGGCGAGGGGCAGGCCGCGACGCAGGCGTGACAAGTGGGCCGCCCGCGCCTACCTGCCTGGATGATGAGCTTCGCGCATTCGTTACACGGGAACAAGGCCACGTAGATGGTGCAGCCCTTCACGTCGGCCGAGTTCTTGTTCATGATGGCGTTCAGCTCGGCGTGGCACACTGCGGGCGGGAGCGAGAAGAAAGAGAAACACTTACACTGGGGCTCAGGAAGAATTCACCAATAGTGCTGGAGCATTCCGCCCCGCCCTCTGAAATCTGTATATATAGAGGGTGTCCCAAAATTCACGCAAGATTTGAATTTTGCATGAGCATTAACAACAACAACAACAAAAAATAAAAGCCTAATTTTACTTGGTTTATTGAATCAGATTCTAATATCTGTTGCCCTTTGATTTCAATCCCTTCAATTTGATAAGCATTCCCAAGTACCAATTATGGCTCAGGAGCAGGGACAATGAAGACCAATGAGGATCACGGCTTTGCGTATGTGCCAGCAAAGCTGTGGTGGCCATTTACCCAATGTGCTATTCCATACATAACCCCATACTGTATACTTTATGAATCAATAAAAAATTTACAATTTTTAATTATAAACTTGTGTTTTCTATCAAAATTACTTCTTGCATGAATTCTGGGACACCCTTTATAAAAGGCTAATATGCAAAGTGTCCCCTCAGGCGTTCGACCAGGAGATGGGGAGTTCGCTCATTTGCTATGATGTGCACTGACCACCAGGGGGCAGCATGAAACATGGCAGGCAACCAGCAGTGGTGGCAGGGCACTGAGGGAGTGAGGGAAGGAGGAGGCGGGGAGGCAGGGAACCCGATGGGCCCTAATCGATGGCCAGGCCTAGGAACCCCACCCGTGCACGCATTTCATGCACCAGGCCTCTAGTAACATATAATAGACTCGATTTAAAAAAAAAAACTAATTAGAAACCGAAAGTGCTGAGAATGCCAATGAGGGCCATGTGGCCCGACGGGTTGGCGATTAGAGGCACCCCGGTCCACGCAGCAGCCCAGGGTCTGTGAGCACCTAGAGCCGCCAGGAGGGGCCGGGGTCAGGTACCTCCCCCCAGCTCCACCCCACGTGCAGCCACAAGGCCCTGGGGCGTGAACTACCCACATAAAATGGCTCATCTGTGTGCTGATATGCACACGCAGGGATGTGCTTTCACCGTGGCCACCGAGAGGGCAGGAGCAACTAAGAGTAAGAGAATCAGGAAGTGGAGCTGAGCATTCTGACCGAGGGATCTGCAGGCCTCATGGCTCCCGGCCCACACGCACACATCGTGGGTTCCCCGTAGTTCGTCTTTTATAAGACAGACACGCATCCACTTAATGGCAAGGAAAAGTCAAGTTTGGGGTTTTCTTTATTGATTTCAGAGAGGAAGGGAGAGGGAGAGAGAGATAGAAACATCAATGATGAGAGAGAATCATGGATGGGCTGCCTCCTGCAAGCCCCACACTGGAGATCGAGCCCATAACCCGGGCATGTGCTCTGACCGGGAATCGAACCGTGACCTCCTGGTGCATAGGTCAACACTCAACCCTGACCCACGCCGGCCGTGCGAAAGGTCAAGTTCTTGCTGCACTGGCTCATTCCACCTAAGATCCCTACACGGGGATCCCAGGTCATTCCCAGACTTGCCGGAATTCCAGGATGAAGGGAGCCCCCTCCTCTCCCCTCCTGCACCTTCCCAGGGCCTTGGGCCGGGGTTCCCACCGACTAATCCACGGGGCGTTCCTCTCAAGGCAGGAGCTGTGCTCACCACTCAGATCTAGTGTGGAATCTCCTACCTGCTCTGTGCGGTGGCCAGATGCTATCTTTTTTTCCTATCCTCACCCAAGGATATTTTTTCCATTGATCTTTAGAGAGAAAGTAGAAGGGAGGGAGGAGGGAGAGAGAGAGAGAAACATTGATGTGAGAGACACATTGACTTGTTGCCTCCCGAATGCACCCTGACTGAGGCCATAAATCCAACCTACAACCCAGGCACGTGCCCTTGACCGGAAATCGAACCCGATACCCTCCAGTCTGAAGGCTGACGCTGTAATCACTGAGCCGAACCAGCCAGGGCACTGTATGCTATCTTAGTTACTATTTCCCTTTCTGGGTGCATTATCTAAGGCTATATTATATCTCCCTGTGGCAGAGATTCACACATGTCTGCAGACAGGAATCCTCAGATGTTCCAAAACACGGAGGTCCGGGTCGCACACCCGGAACCTGACAGGGCCTGGGTGTGAACTGGGCTTTGAAATCTCTAAGCGGTTCCCCGACGTTTCCAACGTGCAGATGTGTTTAGGAAACCCTGCCTCCCAGAGCCCTCTGGCCTCCCCAAGGCCACTTAACAACACACGCTACACATCCAGGCGCTAAAATCAATGTCTGCTGAACGAATTAATGACTATCTGGCCGTGGTCCAAATCACACTAATCTCCTAGAATTATAAACGTGGGGCCTCCGAGGGTCTCCGCGCCCTCTCCCACCACCACCAGCCTACACACAACGCCTTCCTCCGGGCACATTCGGCTGTGACGTCCTCCCTCGGTCAGCGAGCCTCTGCTGAGGGCCTCTGAGGGCCCACCTTCCTCCCAGGCCTCCCGGTCTCGGGTGGGGTGGCCGCTGTGCATGTCCGGCCGCGGCTCTGGGATGCTGCGGGCAGGAAGCTGACCAGGGCCCTCCCAGAAAACGCTGGGAGCGCTCCTTGTAGTCCTGTGGATTTAGGACAGGGGTGGGCAAACTTTTTGACTCGAGGGCCACAATGGGTTCTTAAACTGGACCGGAGGGCCGGAACAAAAGCATGGATGGAGTGTTTGTGTGAACTAATATAAATTCAAAGTAAACATCATTACATAAAAGGGTACGGTCTTTTTTTTCAATAGTTTTATTCATTTCAAACGGGCCGGATGCGGCCGAGGGCCGTAGTTTGCCCACGGCTGATTTAGGAGGTCTCAGGCGCCTGTGGAAACCAACAGTCTCAGGCCTTGTAAGAAAATCTCCCAAAAAAGAAAAGCTGCACTTAATCAGATAGCAACCCACCAGAGAACCCCTGCGGCCAGAGGGGCCTAAGCCGGGACCTGAGCCCCACAGTCCATACACCCCCAGGGCAGGGAGGACAGGGAGGAGGAGGGACGGGCTCCAGGCTCAGGGCCCCGGAGGGCGTCGGCCTCGCAGAAGTCCCCTTGCCCCCACGTCCTTCCCATGACCAAGTCCCCAAGCCTGGATTAACCCCGCTCCGTGTTAAAAACAACTAGATGTAATTATTTCTTCTATTTTCCCCCCGAGGGCAGGACCAGTCTTCTAGGTTCCGGAGTTTAACGCGGTGCCATGAACATCATGGGTGTTAAATATTTACTGAATGAATTAAGGGGGAAATGCGGGTTCTAGTTATTGATGCCAACGCCGGGAAATACGGACAGTCCTCTTAAATTCAAATATCACACATAGGCCTTCCCGCCCAATAAACACTTTTTGGTGGTGTTGGTATTACTCCTCAGAACTGCGGCGTTTCTGAATCCGGGAGAAAACCCAGTGCACTGTCCTCTCTTGAATTTCTAAATTGTCACGTGGACGGCAACTGTCTTCCTCGAATTCATTTTGGGGCAAAATGTAACACTGTCTGCCTGGGTTCATTAAGAAAATTACCATATGAAACAGCCTTTCTTGGGCAACCCGCCAGCATCCCTGGGTAAAGGGTGGTTCAGAGAAATGGCACCCAGGACCATGAACAGATTTCCTCTCTCTGACCCACAAAATCGCAAGATGAAACCGATAAAATTTCCTGTTAAAAAAACATGAGGTCTGCCCTAACCGGCTTGGCTCAATGGATAGACCGTCGGCCTGCGGACTCAAGGGTCCCAGGTTCGGTTCCGGTCAAGGGCATGTACCTTGGTTGCGGGTGCATCCCCAGTAGGGAGTGTGCAGGAGGCAGCTGATCCATGTTTCTAACTCTCTATCCCCCTCCCTTCCTCTCTGTAAAAAAATCAAGAAAAAAATATATTTAAAAACAAACAAACATGAGGTCTGCTGGCGACATGAGGGCTGAGTGCCAGGCACACAGGGGCTCTTTCAAAGGAACAGTTCACAACCCACGACCGCCCAAGTCAAGCTAGACAAAGAAGAAAACAGCCCGGCTCCGTGGTTGAGCGTCGACCTAGGAACCAGGAGGTCATGGCACATGCCCGGGTTGCGGGCTCCATCCCCAGTGTGGGGCGTGCAGGAGGCAGCCGATTCCTTCTCATCATTGATCTTTCTCTCTCTCCCTCCCTCTCTTTTCTTCTCGGAAATCAATAAAAATTGAAAAAGTAAAAAAATTAAACTCGTGGAGTGTCCAGTCACACTTAATTTCTCTGGATCATCCGTACCTTTAGCCTCGGAAGTGACACCCACTCCCACCTTCCCGGAGCCCCCTGGGCCCACCGAACCCTGTCTGATTCGCCCCGGCTCCCCAGCCTACACCTATGGGGCTGAGGAGGGAAACCCCAGCCCCGGGCTCCACTGGACACCTCTCCTGGCCCCGCCCACCGGGAACTCCCCGCTGCTGTCTGTCCAGATCCTGGCACGGGTCTCGCAGGTCCACGACCCCACAGCCCCTGTGGCTCTGACCCTCGGCTTCCCCTCCCAACCCCACTGCATTTCCCTTCAGAACAGACCCATCGGGTCCCCAGACTGCCCGCCCGGAGGAACCTGGACAGATGCCTTGGGACTCGTTCGGTGTGTTCATGTAGGTCAATCAGAGTGGAGTGTGGGGACTCGCTTAGCCGGGCTGGCCATCACAGCTGATCAAGTAACAGGCAACTGCCACGTCGGCTCCAGGCCACAGAGAGCACTCGGCAGGGAGCAGGCCTGGCCTGGGAGGGCGTACTTCGAGCCCTGCCGGCCGGCCTGGCCTGGCCAAGCATCTCCCCCACCCTCGCATCCTCCACCTGCAACTGAGGCAGCTTCGAGGTGCAAGGCCCCACTTTGCCACTTGAAGCGTGTGACCCCGACCGGGGGCACGAATGCGCTCTCGGTTGGCAGGAACAGCGCCAGCTCTCAGAAAGTGCATTTCCACTAGCTGAACCAAAGCAATTTAAAAGGTACTAAGTAATGCAATTTTTAGCTTTTCCCTAATGTGCCCGGTTTCCTCCCTCCATCTTCCAGAACAGCCAATCTTTTCCAAGACAGGCTCTGACCGCAAAACAGGAGTCTCCTCTCCCATGGCCAAGGGCAAGCCTCTTGACTCTGTAATGCATATAAAACCTCCACTTGTCTCTGAAACAATGCTTTCCAAACTGCAGGTCACGACACCAGTTTAGTGAGCTATAAACAGCATTTTCTTTTCTTTTTAATGAAAAGAGAAGGGCTGAGATTAGAACGCACCCACGTGGCAAGGTTAGGTACTGCTCCCAAAACTTCAGTGTGTGTGTGTGTGTGTGTGTGTGTGTGTGTGTGTGTGTGTGTGTGTGTGCGCGTGTGTTTTGTGTGGGGTTTTTTGCAGGAAAACTATGTCACCATGTAAAAAGTTCAGAAACACTGCTCTAAGGAAACCCGCTGACCTCCGGAATACGCTAGTAATGTTTACAACCAATTGTTCTCTTAACATGGCCCTAGTTTGTAGCGTCTGCCCATTTCTGTGGTGTAAATGCTGCCACGCAGCCAATGTCAGGCCCCCAACAGGGCAGGGAAGTGAGAAGAGATGCACACATTGGCGGTGGTGAGCCGTCCCTGGCACGCCACTGACTGGCCTGCTCTTGACCTAAAAAGCCTCCTCGGGCTGCAATCCGCTCGCCTGCTCCCTGGCCCTTGGTTAGTTACCACCCTCCACCCCAAGTCCTCTCAGGAGGACCAGGGCCTCTGGGGTGCCCTACTTTCAATGGGTCCTTTTCTTTCTCTCGACTTTCTAGGCACGTCCCAAAGTCCAGTCCTGCTCTTCGATGCGTTCATTCTTAGATTCTCGGGTAGCAGATCTAGTTGCAAAGCCCCGAAATCTACATTCCTAACCCCAGTGTCCCCTCTTCTCCTCAGGCCTTTCCCTGGGTGGCCCGGGTCTTCTCCGTCACCTCTCTCGCTACGATACACAGTCCACAGCTGCCTGCGAGCAAGAAGGTCAAGAACAAATTCATCATTTTCCGATGCTGGCATTCTGATCGCCTTGGGATACACGCGGCAAGAGCTACGAGGAGATGAGTGCAAGAGCCAGCCCAGGAGAAAGGTTCTCACCGGGATCGTGAGAACAGCATGGTTTTATATCATAGGAATAAAGACTCAGTACCCCAACGAGAGAGTGTCTAGGACGTAATTCATAAGATAGCTAAATTGTCCAAAAAAAAAAAAAAAAGGCAAATTTTCCAACTGTCTACCTAGAACTACTCCCCGATGGCTAGGCAATAAGCAAAAGAACTCCCCGAGCACTACCAGTGTATTTGCTAAGCAGCAAGAGGGCCACAAAACCCTCCGATGACTCTCAACATTGTTGGAAGGGGAAAGAGGCAAATGCTGAGCACATGGGATTAGCACTCAGAAGTTCCCCACCGCCGGGAGGAGGGCCTCTGCCTCGGGTAATTATAAGACAGTTCTACGCTGTGGTCTTTTTCTTCCCCCTTTTCTATTACTAACTGTCAGAATGCAGCACTGCATTAACCTTGGACCATGGAGCAGAGATTGTATAATTAGAAAACTGTTATTTTTCAAACTCCCTCTTACCAGAGCTTGATTAATCCTTACTGTCTCGTGTAGGCGGTTCGCGGCAAGTTTGACAAATTAACAGGATACATTCCATCCTTGGTTCGATTTAGATTTAAGAGATTCGACATTTTATAAATTTGACTTTCATCTCATTTGATATAAGACTCATACAATATCTATTTTAGACGGCAGTATT